AAAATTGTAATTCCCTGTACATTTTTAATGGAACAATTCAAATGTACTGCAACATCTACAAGTCTCGGCAAATGTGTTCATTCAAAAATGTTTGATCAACAATGTGCTGGTGATATGTATGTTGGCGTTGTGTGTTAGACAACGAAAAAGGAGGGTGTGCTTATGATCTACACTTTGTCCAGTTAATTAATGAAAAATCATAATTTGTTTTGTTTTTCAAAAAAATATGTTAGTCTGTCGATTTTTTGATATAATAAACGGTGGCTGATTTATTTAAAGAAAAGAAATAACATTTTATTGAGAATTTGTCTAAATAGTTGGTTCGAAGGTTGAAAGTTTGTGAAGACTTGTACATAGCTAAGAAGAAAGAGAGACGAGTTTGATAATGACTAGGATGAATATACTAGTGATATGCTTCTTCAAACTAAAATAAGTTTTGTTTTTTCATTTTTAGGGATGTGGATGTAGATGAGAGAGATATCATGCTCACACCCACACGCAGCACACCGTCAAATAATTGTCAGACAAACAAAGGGTATGAGTGTAGATACGAATTTGTGTATAATAAAGGACAGACACCCACACCTACACACACATTCAGAGACATATCATATCTTTACTGAGTCACAGATTCGATGCAACGTATGAGAGTATAGAAACAAAGAAGACAAAAGACTTACTCAAGACTCTGTTTATATAGAACATCTTTATCAGCAGCGATATATCGTATTCGTTAGAGAAAATAGTACTATTAGAAATTGCACCTAATTTTTCGGATATGTTGAGCAAAAGAGAGTTGAAATTAAGATTTTTGTTGATAGCACTAAAAATGTTGATAGTTCTTACGAATATTAGAAGACTCCTCTATCACATGTGAACGATACAACAAGATAGATGACTTCGGATCTTTTTATGTGTCGAGGGCTTTAGTTACATCCACACCCTTACCTACACACTTACATTCATTTATACTGGTATCCACACTCCACCTATACAAACACATCCGCACACATAGACATACACACCCACACACTTCTTTAAAGTTATGTTAATCCTTTATTCATGATTTTACCAACTTTATATAGGAAATCATTGTTGATAAAATGAGTAATCCTTGTCTTCTTATCTTTACTTTTAATCTGTCGTAGTACGAAGCAAAAGGTGGATTTTTCAATTATTGACAAACTCGAAATCGTCATCAACGTTCTAATCTTCTTAACCAAAGCTATAGACTCTTTTTCAAAAGTCTTTTTTTCCAACATTTTTACATCTGTGACGGTATATAAGGGAGGTGAGACACGGGTAATCTAAAACTTCACTTCAAATAATAACTTCTACAAAACAATATCCAAGCCAATTTACGCAATTTCAACGAATAATAATGTCAGTTTATGAGATTTTATATGGAGATAAACGTGAAATATGCAAAACTAGCAGGGTGTTCATCCACAGGCATACAAGACTCTGCATTGTCATAACTGCTATGATAGTACTAGGAGTCGTTAGTCTTACCATTGCCGGAATATTCAAATTTGGAAAAAAATCTAACAATGGTTCAACGATTAATAATAGTATCACTATAGGTAAAAGAGTGAACACATTTTCCTTCAAATGCTTTCAGAAAAAAATATTCTTTTCTATTTGTAATATGGTAACAACAGGGGCGTGCCGACTAGGAGACGCGTGAGATGGTACGCTCCCTCCCCCTGCATTGGGAAACTTAAGTTTTTTTTGGTCAATAAAATCAAAAAAAAGGATTTTTACGTGGTTTTTGGTGTTAGATTTAAGCAAAACGGATGTTGCGTTCCCCCTGCTTTTCGAACTTGACGTACTGAGCTTTTACGCCCCCCTGCCTTCGAGACCTCAGTACACCCCTGAATAACAACAACAAGCATCGAAACATCAAGCACCTCCACCAGTAAGAGAATTGAATGATAACACCATAGTTCATTTTAAATGTTTCTGACTGAATCTTCTCAATGAATAGACTTTACTCATTTCAAAATGAACACCTTTTATTGATGTACTATATTCAGAGCTCTATGTGACTAATATATCGCCTCTAACAAATCTGTAAAGTTTTTTTTCATAATCCTACAGATCTTGACTACAACCAAAAGCTTGTCCAGTATATTAAACTTATACTTTACCCACAAAGTAAGAGTAAACGCTGACACTCTTCTTAAGAAATGATCGGTAAACCAACACTTCCTGTTTTCACTATTTTCATCTTGTGATCTGAAAAAATACAACTGAGACAAGAAGAGCAACCATTGACAGTTTCTCTTTGCACTTTCTAAATCTTCGCTTTTTTAAACTCAACGCTAATGAGTACGAAAGTGACAATTATATCGTTCGTTTATTTTTTCGAAAAAAGTTTTTTCTTCCAATGAATTATTAATAAACTACACCGTTTGTATTTAGATCGACCACCTGGAAGTGGCTCTCTGTGTGACTTATCAACATGGAATGAAAATGGCATCATAATTGCTGAAAATCTCCTTGATCCTCGTGATTTATTTCTTGATGATGAATATATCTACGTATCGGAAACATTGAACAATTGTTTGATGAGATATCACTTAGGCTCTACTGAAAAAGTAGTGATATTAAATAATGTAACAGTGCATGCCATAGCATTGAACAAAGAAGAACAAACTATTTATTTTTCACAAGAATCTGCTAATAAAGAATCTATCAATCGAATTGCTAAATATGGACAAGCCGAAGCGAGTGTAGTCGTTTCGAGTGATCACATTGGAATCATCTACAGTTTATTGGCTATGAACGAAAGCTTATATATCTGTGATAGAAATAAAAATCGTGTCATTTTGTGGTCGACTATCGAACAAAACTTTACCATCATTGCTGGTGGTAATGGTATCGGTTCTGGACCAGGTGAACTGAGTGCGCCAGAAGGTATTTTCGTCGATGTAAATGGTGATACATACATAGCTGATACACTCAATCACAGAATACAACTTTGGAAGAATGGTGCTACAGAAGGAATAACCGTCGCAGGAAATGAAGATTCTAGGCATGGTCAAGGTTTGAATGAATTACATAGACCAAAAGCAATTTTTGTTCATGGAGAGACAATGTTTATCGCTGATAATTATAATAATAGAATTGTCAAGTGGAAGATTGGCGATAGTCGAGGATTAGTAATTGTCGGTAATAATAGCACTGAAGCTGGAAATGGTTTGAATCAGCTGAATAATCCAACAAGTTTGAAACTTGACTCAAATGGAAATTTGTATGTAGTTAATAGTGGCAACGGTCGCGTACAAAAATACATAGTCGATAATAGTCTATGCTAGACTAGAATATTTCTATAATTCTCTGCGTTCTGATGCTGTTTTGTTAATTTTTTTGTTTATAAATTTAAACTAGAGTTTTTTACTATATAAATCACGATCGTAAAGCTTTAATTTTGCGAAAACTACAGTTTTATAAAGTTACTACAGAGCTATAAATTATATTCTTCTCAATTTTTCTCTTTCTGGTTATTGCATCACACTTCTTTTGTTATAAAAATATTAAAATATCATGACACAACATTTTGAATGCGTCATCGATTAGTATGCGTTTACCTTGGTTTTATCCTTCAACAACTTAAACCGTATCTCTCGGAGCTTTCTCCGCAGCTTATTCTTACGCAATATTGTACTATAATGATTTTGTTTTATCCGTTTCTATTTTGTAAGCCGTAACAGATAGGGTGTGAGTATTGGTGTAAGAGTAGTATCGATACCCACATCCACTCTCAAGATAGTACTCAAATACTCGAGATATTTAAGTAAAAATATCGAAAATACTAAGTATTTTATTCGGTATCCAATAACTGTTGTCTGTCTATAGTATCATTCTTGAATAATGTCCTAGCCCTATTTGTATAAAATTGTATACTTTCATCAATGAATTAACTGTTCCATCAGTAGTTTCTTCAAATCACTAAATGATCTCATTCATGTGAAGATGCTTTCACTAGTATTCAATATTGGTTGTTCACAACTAGCTTGTATTTCTTTTTTACCGTGCACTTCGGCTATATCGGTTCGATTATGATATGATGAGATATAAATATATACTATTGATACTAACTTTGTCCATTATCTCCACCGACGACAATGACATGTTCTATTGAGATAAAAACTTGTTACTTTATTGTTCTCGAAATCACGTCAAATAACCTATAGTTTGTTTTCAACAACAACTGTTCGATAATTATTATTATTATTACAATAAGCTAATGGTTTATTGTTAAGAGACTAATTTTTGTGTATAGTAGAGGAAACATTGTGAAGTTATATATGGGCACGGCCAAGCGTGACGGAATTTCATTTTTTTAACTTGCGAGACCTATATCTCCTCAATAACAAGAGATATGTTTGTGAAATTTTTACCATATATGAAGGTTAACTAGGTCTACTAGCAGTAAAAATTTCGCTGACTTATGACAAGCCATAACGGAGCTATATGCAAAACATCGTTCGTTACGGAATTTCAAAAATGGACAAAATTTTGAGGGTGGTCTCAGATTTTGACTTTTTTCTTCGAAACTAACCGGCTCATAAATAAACATTCTATACATAAGTTGTTCAGTTTTTCACGAGCTATCGGAATATCACGTTATTTTCTTTGTGAGACATCCCCTTTAAACAAGACGACTTGAAATACTGAGCGTTACGGAATTTCAGATGTTATGGAATTTCACATTTTTTCTCTTTATCTGTGAGGGACAATTTAGTGACATTTTTATAATAGTTTTAACTATGAAATCTAATTTTTTTCATTCTGTAACGATTAAGAGTATTGTTTTCTATAGATCAACTAGTTCATTTTCATGTCTGTCTCAAAATTTCATAGAAAATTTCATTCATTATTTTGACAAAAATGAAAATTTTCAAAATAAAAAAAAGCGAAATTTCGTGATTATTCGTGTTTTTAAACTCGTAGGAACGGAAAATGATATTTGTTTTATATGTCAGCTGAGTAATTCAGAATGTCGAACAAACTTAACAATATTTCAAGATCATACTGTCTGTTAAAAAAAGTTTTTTCTATATATTACTGATTTTTAACCTTCACCAGCGAAGGGGACCGTTAGCTGGCCGTGCCCATATATTACTTTGCAGTATCATCTCTGACTTCATTAATACGTGAATCAGAAGAATATTCACATCCACATTCAGGAAACAGCCCATAACCCAACAAATCCTGACTACAACAGTGCTTGAAAAAATTCATATCTCGTAAAGACTAAATATTAGATTACAAGTTAAAATAAGATTTTACTAGAAATTCTAGACTCTACAAATAAAATTTATTAAAAATCTATTATCTAAATAAAAAAAACGCAATGGTATGTATCCTTTTCAGGTTATTTACATTCCATTGAGATCTGCTTGATTACTGCGGGCTTTCGAACAACAAACAAATATATATATATATATGAAAAAGAAAAAAAAAGTTATTGTCTTTTATTGTTTTTCAACGAGACCACAAAACGTTTGACAGACGCATAATGAATAAGACTGGTCGTTACTTCAGCTCTTTTTTCTTTCAATAATTTTAATGCATCTTCTGGTGACATTTTTTCATTTGCAACCAAATGACAAAATACAATTGTAGCACTTCTTCCCATTCCACCTTTACAATGAACAAATATTTTCTTATTAGCATCACTTGCTTCTTTCATAAATTTCACTCCTTTTTGTATTGTTTTCAACGATGGTGCTGTACTATCAACTGTTGGTAAATGTAATTGTTCGATATTGTATTTTTTATAAGTTTTACGTGGACCATTATATTCTGCACACATATTAACAACACATTGAATTCCAATTTTATTCAATACTTCGACATCAGATGGTAGGGGTAAACAACCCAAATAACAATTTGGTGTTATTTGACTATATAATGAATTCAATGGATTATTTAATAATTTAAATATAATTACTAATAAAAATGCTGGTATATCATATAATAAATGTATAATATAGCGTCGTTTATCATTTAAATCCATATCATGTTTAGTTCGAGCAAAACTAGTAATTATTAATGCATATGGAAATAAATGTTGAAATTTTTGTATTGGTATATGATGATAACCTAATAATAAACCAATACCTTGAATAGTAAGTTTTAATACCATAATTACCCATAAAGTGATGAAAAATATGTATAATAATAATCTACATAAACCATAATAGGAATGTTTTTGTCGTGGATAAGTTCGATACCATTCAAATATAGCTATTAAGATAATTGGAATATAATTTCCATATGGATTATTTAATAAATATGCCGTCAATATACTAGATAATAAACATGCTACAGCAATCAGGACATTTTTAAAAGTCCGTTGATCTTCTTCGTCTGTTAATTGTATGTCCTCGGCTTCCTTCTCAGTTGGTATGTTTTTTTCAGTCATATATTACGTGGAATAATGTTTTTTTTTTTATAAATAACTTTCAACCATGTTAAACTCTAAAGAAATATGATTCGTTAAAAAGAAGAAAAATTATATGCACAGAGTTCTCACAACAGAAAAGAGAAAAAAAAATATTACTACCTGACAAAAATAGAAGCATCATTATTACGAGTTTTACTGTGAGACATCGCTATCGCGAGTACTCACTACCTATTTTATCTTTTACTTTTCTGCTTTAAAAATAATTCTAGAAGGACGACATCACTCATTGTTTAGTAAAAAAACAGAACAAAAAATAAATTCTATTGGAGTACGACGATGCCATATATAATATGTAGATGTCATATTACAACAGATTATACTGACGATGAAACCATCTCATATAAAAAAAAATTCTACTAAATTAGGAGGAGTCAAATATTTTAACTTATAATAAAAGAATAATATTTGTAATACTAGAAAGGTTCATTAAAGAATTTAAGGTAGTGTCCCACTCTGTATAACTATTTTGTTCTAAAATGACATCTATACATCCAATTCTTTTTTTTTATTGTGTAAGATATGGTTGTTTGATGCTCTAACAGAATTATTTTTCTCTTCTGTTATATGTTAAAAATGCGTAATGTCGTCCTTGGGCAGCTGCACGTGTGATTACTGCTTCTACGTAGCAACGTCAGTTTTACTCGTTGTTCTTTCAAATAATCTACTGTATTTTATTCTCTTTTTTTTTGTTGTTGACATACTCTTACTTTAGTTGTCATCTCATCTTCAACTAAAAATAGCAGGCGTATTCATGTTTGCAAGGATTACATCGAGTCTACTAATGCATACATATTTATATAAAAGACGAAAAAGTAATACATATATCTTTTTTTGTAGCGTTTCATATTACGGAGTGCATCTATTTGCGTAGTTCAATAATTACTGTCGCAAATACTATAATCTCTCGTTTTTTCGATTACTCATACAGACAAATAGTCGATATTTCTACGCATTAATAAGTTCGAGAAAAAAACTTCAGACATGATTAATTCAAAAAAATCTATTATTTAATCGGTAAACTATATAACTTTTGCGCGTGAAAGAATGTTAACATTATAAAATTCGATAGTATCGCAAGACTAAATAATTTTCTTTTTATACATGAGTTATTACTCCAACGTAGCATTCTTTTTTAAATTGTGACTTGATCAAACTTTATCCTGTGTAGATTTCAATTAGTATATACTTAGTGTTCTTATTCATATAAGTCAATTTATTTGAATTTTAGATTTAATTATATCAAATGAATTCGTCAGATTCAATTAATGATTCGTCAAATGCACATTGTAAATATGATATTAAATGTAAAAAATCCGTTACAAATCATTGTCAAGGATGTGGAGAAATGTTTTGTAAGGATCATTATTTAGAACATCGAAAGAAACTTCAGGAACAATTTAAAAATATAATGTCTGAATTAGATTTATTGAAACAAAAATGGAAATCGTTAACATCTGATATGTCAACAGATATTGCATTAGATCGAATCAATGAAATTTATGAATATAGTTTAAAATCGGATCAAGTAGAAAAAACAGCAACCATGGTACAACAACAATTACAAAATTTAATTAATGAAAAGAAACAATCGGTTCTAATGATAAGTAAATCAAAATTTGATCAAAATGATTATTTAGAAAATGTTATTGAACAATTAAAAGAAAATATTGAAGAATTAAAATTGAAATTAGAAGAAATAAATAATGAACAATCTCAAACAATAGAATCATTAGCAATAAATAATGATTCAAGAAAAGAAAAATATCCTGTTAAATTATATGTTAATAATTCAAGAAAAAATATTACAGATAGTACTCCAACATTGTCTGATCTAGTCATCAAACGATCAAATTCATCGAATGTAGATTTAGAAGAAAATGAAACTGTTCCAAATGAAACACATCTCGAAGAACAAGAAGAAGATGATAAAGATGATGGAGAGGAAATCGTAGTATTTCTAAATTCTAATACAGAATTACAAATTAATCATAAAGTACGTTTTTCAAATAATATTGTTCGTTGGCTTCGAGGTCCTTTTAAAACCATGGTTAAGGGTCTAATGAGTTCGGTTGATTTATGTGCACAAGGAACACATATGAGTGAATATGTTTTAGAAGCAGTAAAAAAAGGATTAACAAAACAAAATCAAAATTTAAAAAAACCCATAATTACGAATAGTTCTATCAAACCAACATTTACTGAAATTACATCGGATTGGAAATTAGAAGAATCAAATTCTAATGAAGGTTATAGTAGTGCAAGCTTATGGATGCGTAATCCTCAAGGTCAACGAATTCTAGTTAAAATACAACAGCTTGCATTATGTGCTGCTAATGAATGGTTAGCTTATGTTCTAGGTAAAGAACTTGGTTTACCTGTTAATGAAGTACAAATTGCAATTTATGAAAATAAATTAGCAACTTTACATACTGATGCTCAGGATGAAGGTGAAAAAACTCTTACATTATTAGAATTACCAAGAAATAAACGAAAAATCTTATTAACTTATCCAATAATGGAACAAATGGATATATTTGATCATATTATACAAAATGCGGATCGTAATCAACAAAATATTTTAATTACAATACCAGAAACAGATGATATTACTAATGATAATGATGATTCGATGAAAGGAAAGATATATTTAATTGATCATGCTAGTAGTTTTGGTATGGGACAAGTTAGTGGAATTAATACTATGGCTTCAAAATTTCATACTAATCGTTTTTCAGTAGTTAAATTTGATCCGGTACAGAAATCAAAAAAGTTTGAAGAATATCTCAATAAATTACCAGTAGAAGATCGACCTGTTATTAGTGAAATATTAAGCCGTTTTGCATCCGTTACTGATGAACAATTTGATAGCTGGATTACAGAAATGCAAGATTTCTTATCGGTTGGTCAATATAATCGAATATATTCTGTTTTACGTCGACAACGTGATATCGCAAAACGTTATGCAGCCCAATGGAATATTTCTTCTACATCTTTAAGTACAAAATCAAACAAAACAGACGAAAAATAATATAACAACTTCTTTTTTTAATAAATAACTGAAAAATTAATTTTGTAAAAAAAAATGATCATTTTTAACTTTTGCGCTTTTTTATGTATTGTAATTTTTCTCTTTTCTTTACATCATATAAATTTTTTTCATTCTACTATATCATTTCATATTTATTTAGTGATATGTTACTTGAGGGTGTGAGTGTCTTTCTTATACTAGAAGATAGATATGAATGAGACTTATTTATTTCAAATGAAAATTCGATTGTTTTTTAAAAACTTAGAAAGATAGAACAAGAGAAAATTAGTGTCATTTAAAATGATTTTATGTCTATAGAATTTTTGATCAGTTAATTTGAAGGACAGAAACCAGTTCCTTTATGTGAACATACGCGTAATCCAATATCATCAATGACTATATCATTTCCCGAACCACCGCGAGCATCAGAAATCATTAAAAGAACAACTGAACTAGTTGGTGCTGTAAATGAAAGACCATATTTCTTCCATGTTAAATTCTTTGTCACTGGTATATTTCCTGATCTTAATTGAGCAAGTAATTGATTTCCATTCGTTAAACTTCGAACTTCAAAACGAACATTTGGCTCAATTCGATCAGCTCCATTACAAACATTAGCCAAATAAACAGAAAATTCATAACGTAAACCAACACATAGATTTTTAACTGTACCATTATAAAATTGACCAGGTTGATAATCTGCATTAACTAAAAACATATATCCACCTTGATCTCCTGTGTGATCTTTTGCACCAGTATGCCATGTTCCCAAAAAATCATTATGAATTGAATTGATAAAACTAAACATGCCATCGTTTGTCTTAGGTTCAAATTGTTGTTTGTATGTTGTACTAAAATTGAAATTAGCTGGTTTACTTCTAGAGTATTGAGCTGAACCACGTCCGAATGTAATCAATAAAATAGGATTCGAACTAATAGTTTCGGTATCCGTACATAAGCCAACAGATTCTTGAACAAAATAAATAGTATATATATATAATAGAAAAGAATACATACGGACTTCACAGGTTGAACCACTGAAACCAATTGGACAGGTGCAGTTATTCTCAGAAACACATGTTCCATTATTCTTACATGCAGGAACACATTTGTCTATAACAATAAAAGAAAGTCTTATCTAATTGGAATATTCGTTTCAGTATCTAGACGATATCTCATATATATCTTTTTTGTATTCTACAAATGCACTTAGATGCACATATGTTCAAATACTCACCGGAACAAGTCTTTTTACTGTTGCAAAAGTTACTGGTACAATCTGATGCTTGATTACAAATTTTTGTATCTTGACATTTTGGACATTTAGAACCGCCGCAATCTATATCTGTTTCATCTTGGTTTTTCATTTTATCATCACATGTTTCAATAGCTAAAATAAAGCAAATTATTAGATTTGAAATTCATAATAAAGATTGAACACTTACGATTGCATTTCTTGCTTTTACAGTAACCACTGATACAATCACTGTCATCATTGCAATTCATTATATTATTACATTTTGGACATCTAGAACCACCACAATCTATATCTGTTTCATCTTCGTTTTTTATACGATCAATACATTTAGAAACTAGAAAACAAGATTAAATCACTCTCTATTATATCTTTTTATTTAGTTGTTACAAGTAGAGATAATCGAATTCTGAGAACAACAGAATAGTGGCTTAGTAAAAACATTGAAGTTATTATCATTTATTGTATCATCAAAGAAGTGACAATTTGGATTGTCCTGTCCACTTTCTTGAGGATTCTGACAAATAATTTTCGGTGGGTATATAAAAGAGATCTTGCTACAAAGATCAACGATCCGGTATCTTTGATTAGATGAGGATGAGGAAATAGACACGAGACATACATATATATATTAACTACTGTTATAGCCTATAAAAAGAAGATAGGTCATGCGCGATCGAATTGGTCAAATATATTTTCTATCATTATACATCAATGAAAATAGAATATACGAAGCACACCCAACACAAAAAAGATAACATAATCACCCGTTATTGACGTTGTCACCGATGCTGTTGAAGTTGGAATCGATCTTTGCGGAGTAGAGGTGAAAGCTCCTAAAGTTGTACTCATGACTGTTGAGGCTAAACTGGAGTTTGTTAAGACTGGAGTTAATGGAATTGAAGTTGTTTTCTGGATTGATGAAGTTGAACTTGAATTTGCCGAGGTTGATGTTGGGGATACTGAAGTTGAGTCTGCTGAAACTGTAGTTTCGAGTATTGAAGCTGAGCTTGAGTTTGCTGAGATTGATGTTATCGATGCTGAAATTGTACTCATGGTTGATGAGGGTGAAGTTGAGTTTGCTGAAAATGTGGTTGAAAATGTTGAAGCTGAACTTGAATTTGCTGAGATTGATGTTACCGATGCTGAAATTGTACTCATGGCTGATGAGGTTAAATTAGAATTTGTAAAGACTGTGGTAAAGGGAACTGAAGTTGCATTCTGGATTGATGAAGTTGAACTTGAGTTTGCTGATATTGATGTTAATGATGCTGAAATTGTACTCATAGCAGATGAGGGTGAAGTTGAGTTTGCTGAAACTGTGGTTAGGGGTGTTGAAGTTGTATTTTGAATTGATGACGTTGTATGCACGTTTTCTATTTAATAAAAATTCAATTCGATAATTTGTAACTCATATTGAAAGATTAACTTCGTTTTTGTTCTAATAATTCATATTAGTTGCAAGTTAAGAGCTGTCTTCTTATTTTTATCAGAATTGAACTCAATCGTCTATCCCTACTTTTTATATAGTTCTCACAAGTGAAAACGTAATACTTACCAATACATTGATTATTTTTACATGCATCACTAATACAATCACAATCATCACTGCAATTCTTTAAATTGTCACATCTGGGACACTTAATACCACCGCAATCTATGTCTGTTTCATCCTGATTTTTTATATTATCTTCACATGATAGATATGCTACATGAATTGAAACAATTTTTAATGATTAGAATTTATAAAAAGTATTTAAATGCTTACAAGCGCATCTTCCATTTTTACAAATATTGCTTATACAATCACAATCTTCTTTGCAATTCATTGCATTGCTACATTTTGGACATCTTGAACCACCACAATCAGTATCTGTTTCATCGCCATCTCGTATGCGATCAAAAGAACAAGGAGCTAAAAACGTCATTACATTGTTCTATATTACATTTACTAAAAAAGTCTTCAAAACAAGTAAAAAAAATGCTCACTCCAAAGTATCACGCATATCTATGATTACATTATTCTTAATAACATATCAATAAAAACTTATTGGTTCAGATTGTATGTCAATTTCAATAGAAAAACTCTTTAAGATTTGTAAAAAAAAAGATGTAAAATGCACATAAATACAAACTCTATATACTTCTATTTGTTGCTGGTGACTTTTCTTCTGAACTTGATGATTCGACTATAATCACTGTTCTGCATTGAATTATCATCACATAATAACAACAACAAAATGCCAACCAAAATAACCATTTGAAACTATATATAAAATAAAGTAGTGGTAATTCGATTTATTTTAGTATCAGGAGTGAATATGAACGCATGGGAAAAGAATAGAACAAATACATTTTCAGAAGTTTTGAAGGAAATGAAATGAATCATATAGACGAACGTTACTTTTAAATTCTAATCAAAAATCGTCACAAAGCTCATTTTTCTTCCGACACTGACCTCTGAATAACCTCCGTTAGGATTAGGTGTTCTTACATACTTACAGATTTTATACTTTCCTAATTTCTATTGACAAAAACTTGTTGAATCATGAAGCACAAAAGTTGTCTCGAAAGTATATAGTGAATAAAACATGAATATAGATAGTTTGTAGTCTATCTCATCAAAGTTTTGGACTTTACTACTGATAAGCATGTTCATAACTTAGAAATAATTACCTCGACATGACAAATATTGTTCAAATCTCAAATTCGATTTTATCGAAAGAATATGTATATGAATTGATTGCACTAAAAATTCAAATCTGGAAAAAAAGAACTATATTTTAAATTATAATCTAACAAATCATAAAATCGCATTAGTTAAATTTTAAACAAATTCCAATAGATAATGTTCAGCCGTACAATGATAGATAATATATGACATAGTCAAAATTGTGTACTGTGGAGTTTTATCAGTTATTTATCTCGAAACATAAAAAAAGCATTGAGAAACGATAATAATGATAGAATAAAAGTTTATAGCAAAAGAATAGGAGGTGAATTCATTTTCGATGCTCGCTATTCTCTCAATTGTAGGTATTTTTGTCAACTATATATACAACTTTAAATGAATGAATAATAAAGCAATTATTAATCGAGAAACCTTAGATATGTATTATATTATTAAATTTCATGTCTTGTTTATCTGAGGTGATGTTTTTTTGCAGCACTCTATATAGGCAACGATAAAAGATGTTGACAGATGAAACGAATTCGAAACCATTCATCAAATATTTTTGTCGTCACCTAGATTATAAGTTAACAAATATATATATTTAGAGTTGTAGGTGTCTGACATAAATAAGAAAAACTTCAGACAAAACCTATAATGGTAAATAAATAACGGGCTTTTCATATGATTTATTTTCAAAGAAATTTTAATGGTATGTGAATGTGTTTAAACAACAGAATTAATAAAATAACTTGAAATATTCTTTATTGTATATACAGCTGTGACCAGATTAACTTTCATCAATCTCTTCGTTACTTGTCAAACAGAATATTCAAATGTTTTGTAATCTTATATGCATCAGAATTATTTTTCTTTCTTTGAGTATGTGTGCATATTTATTGAGAATACTTAATCTAATTGCTTCATAATCCTACACGTCTTTTTGTTGATAAGATGCAATGCATCCACTTCTTCTGAATACATATATGATATTTTTCTAATAATACCATGGTTATGATTACTTAGTCAGAAGTTCAAATATGTTCTTGATTGATATGAGATATTTTGTCAACGAAGCATTTTTTTAATAATCAAATCTACTGTGATATAGATGCATGATTATAATATTCACGTCCACATCCTTTTTACGTCAAAATAGAGAACAAACACAGGCATATGAGGGCCACCTATTCGATCCATCCACCATCAGATATATTCTGAGACTAGGATAAGGATAACGAATAGAAGAGAAACATCCACATCACACCCAGATTAATGTGAATGTGAATTAAAGACAACATTTACGTTCACGCTCTTAAATTGCTTTTATTTAGAATATGTTAGTAATTGCTTATGATTATCTATATTGAAAAAATTTAAAAATATGTATGATTATGAATCACCTTTCCATCCAGTTTTTTGTAACCATTGTTCAAATGTATTCAAATGTGTTAATTGTTTACCATTTGTCCAATCTTTATTTTTTCCATAATAACCATATTCTTCAAACCATTTATACATATTAAATAGATCATCTTGTCCTGATTTTGGTAGAAAACTTAATGCTGATCGAAATTCTTCTTCTTTCAATGTTTTTGATATAGCTGGAATACCAGTTACTTTCGTAAAAACTTTTGCGACATCTTCAAAAGCAATTTCTTCACCACAAATACAAATATCTTGATTAATATATTTTTCTGGATCTTCTAATATCTCACGAACAATAGGACCTGTATCATCAATATCAACTAAATGTAATTTAGCTTTTTGATTCAATGGAGCAGCAAATACAATTGTACCATCATCTAATTTTTGTGGTTTTGCCATATTTTGCCAATTTTGAATATAACATCCTGGTTCAACATAGATTACTTTTAAATTTGGATGTTTTTCTTTGATATAATCACATATTTTAGCTTTTTGTGTAAAATGTGGTACATCTCTTCAAATATATATAAATTTGTTATACAAAAAATTAAATTTATTTTTTTTTGTACTTACAATTTTTCTCCACTTAATTTATTAACATTTTCAACTGTACTGAATATGTAATATGGAATTTGAAGAGAACTAGCAATATCAGCCATTAAAGTACCTTGTTGTATTTCGACTTCAGGTTTATCAGGTTGTGCCCAATAATCTGTAAGAGCATAAATTGCCCATGAATCTTTAAATGCACGTTTAACGTCATCACTTTTATTAATATCACAGGAAACCATTTCAATATTATCACTTAAACGTTTTATTGCTTGTGCTTTCGCACTGGTTGGATCACGTGTTAAACCGCGAATCTTTAAATATAGGAAAATTATTTTCATGTATAAACAATAAAAATAAAATACAATTACCTTATATTTACCCGTTTCTATTAATGATCGTACTACGGCACCACCCTGAGCACCAGTAGCTCCAACCACTGTAACTAATCGCATATTCGCCATAAATCGAATGTATTGTACAAAACACGTTGGATTATTTCATATATATATATTTCTTTTTTTGCGTCCTTGATGTTTTTTTTTAAACATATTAACGTAGGTAGACAGTATATGCAATCATACCGAACGAATAGTGCGTTTAGTTACGATGAGTGAATATAAATAAAAAACGTGTGATGAGTGGATAATAGGCAAAATGAAATGATATTTATCATATATAACTAAACAAATTAAAAAAAATCTTTTTGTAAACTATTTCGTATTTTTATTTATTTATTAAATAATTAACTCAATTATTGTATTCGTTAAATTTTATCAAAATATACGAAATCTTTAGTTTATCGATTAGTGTACACTTGGATAGAAGGGTGATGGTGTAAGATGGAGATAATACCCACACCCTCAGGATAGTCGATTGTAGCAATTTTCATCGTCATAATCATATAATCATGTTGAAAATGTGCGTATTGTTTTTATTGTACCTTCACTCTCCTCACTCATTGATCAAAGTGAGGACTGAATACATCACAGTTGGATTATCAAAACAATTTATCGATTTTTGAGACAGATAAAATGAGGATGTTTGTCTATCAACATTTTCATGTTTTTATCTCTCAGTTTTGAATAATGCTCTATAAAGAATTTAATAAATGACCGTCTCATAATAAAAATATTATTTTAATGCAAAGAAAAATGGTGAAAATACAAACTGTGCAACATTCATATGCTTTATTGATCAGCTTTCGTGGAGAATTCTTTGCTTTCAGACGTTAAAATATTGCCTATAAGCATACTACATTCTTTCGTGGAATGATGATAGAATCATAGTGAAAAAGAAAGAAAGTAAAATAAAAAAGGAATTACATTTACTTTTTAGTTGTTGGTAAGTAGTGAAAGCAATCTTTCTTATAATACTTTCATAAATAAAATCTCTTCGAATTTCCAACATGGTCTGTGTACATTCTTTCGAACTGCTCTAGTTGCTAAAATTTTTTACTAACAACCTTTCATTTATTCTATTTTTAAGACCACACCAAACAGCGTTCGTTCTTTTTTATTAATCGATAGATCAAGATCTGCTTTCATATTTTAATAATAGTAGACTTCTTCAGTTATGAATTTTCACTCGAAACTGTCTTTCTTTCAAGATTTTTTTCTCTAAACGAAAATCTATTACTGTGAAATGGCTTTAGAAGATCTTTGAAGCCAGCAGAAAACTTTCGATCATTTATTAAACTTTCTTTATCGTAGAAAAGCACATTTTCTTTGTAATATTTAGTGAATTGGACCAAGCATCAAAATATAAATTTCGAAATGACTCAACCAGCTGCAGGATTAATCCTGGATCCTACTAAGTTACCTAACACAACCACTGTTCCACAAACAAAAGAACTACCAAAAGTTTTGGTTGATTTTAAAAAATACGTTGATTCCAAGTTCTGTTATTACTCTGAACCTGCTGGTAATGCTGACTTAATAAATGTTCAAAAAAAAGTAGCTTATCAATGTCATATGAAAATACTGATGGAAGGGAGACGCTTGAATTGGAGAGAAACACCACATAATTGGACAAATGAGACAGTTCTTGGGAGTACTACTCTAGGTAAGATGTCTATTCATTTATTGTTCTCATGTCATCTATAATAATGCATATAATTTTAAATTTAATGTAACCTGTTTATCAGCTTTCTTCTATTGATTGACTTAATTAGTATAAATATATTTTTATTAAAGGTCGATTCTTTGAGGATACTACACGTGGTGGCGGAGGAATGGGTGATATTTGGAGGGATTATAGTTTCGCTCTTCCATCACATGATAAGAAATCGAAGAGTAGTCGACATTTACCGGAAGGAAATTATTTGACAAGATGCACAAATTGTCGAGGAAAACGTATTTTGTCATGCACACACTGCGGTGGAGACGGACGGATCAAGTAAAAATCTCAATATATTTTTGATTTATATAACGATAAATTCAATTGTTTTTTAGCAATAAAACAGAATACTGTTATAATTGTAAAGGACGCGGTCAACTAACATGTTCAAGTTGCAAAGGATTAGGAGGCTTTCTTCATTCGCCTACATTAGTCGTTAAATGGCATACACGTGAATCAACATGGTATTGTCAAAATTCATATTTACCTAAAAAAAAAATTCGAAAAGGAACTCGAACACAGTTTTGGTCAACACGAATAGTACCTTGGTCAGAACGTTCATCCGTGGAGAATGCTGTTCAATCTGTTATTGAAAATGCTCCTGGAATTGATTTGAGACTGAATATTATCAATCATTACAATGACAAACATTTAAAACCAACACGATCTAAGAGTATTATTATGCGACGATTTCAATGTACAGTTGAACGAATGGATTTTGAAGAAATTCAATATACAATGGGAGATAATTATACAAATAAACGAGATTCGACAAAAGGTATATACATATATATGAATTGAAATAATTTTTACTTTTTTTAATAGGAACTACTTTTCGATTTTGTCAATATCCAGGACCTAAAGGTCGATCAACGATCTACGAAAACGATTATCCGTTGAATTGCTGTGGTTGCTTTGGACCTACACTTGCATGTTATTCATGTTGCTGTAATATTCTTTAACATCAACGGATCAACTAAAACTTATTATCTGAAAAAAATTTTCTATAAAAATACAACAAAAACTGAATATATTTCTAAAACCAAATATTCCTTCGTCTTTTTTTATATACAATTAATTTTGCAACATTATTTTTATAAAAAAAATGCTGACAAACCCACTTTATATATTTGTCATTGATTTTTTTATTTTGTTGACACCAAGTTTGTATACTGAATAGTCAAATTTCAAATCAATATCAAACAGTATGACTTTAATACTAAGACTTCTCCTGTCACCAATTTTTTTCCTATTTATTCATTGGGATTTAGTAAACAAAAAGCGCAAGGTGTGGGTGTGGATATATAATGAAAACACAGCAAACCATTCTCATATTCTAACTTACACCCATACTTACACCCTCACCCTAGTCCATAATTTTTATTTGTGAACTAGTAAGTTTCATTTAGTCAGAAAGAAAATAGATGACAACAAATAGTTATACTACTCCGTAGTTCCTAAGTCTTATTTTTGACAATTTGTGATGATACATGAATGCTAAATCCGTGATTGATCAGTTCTAATGTTTCTGAATAATAGTTAGTGGTGTAGATTTCTTTGTACCAATTGTCTCACACAAACACGATAAAAGACAACAATTCTTTCAAAAAATGCATTACGAAAGAATTTACTTGACACAATCGACGCATAGAAGGGTATGGCATAATTGAAAAAGTACAAGGAGCTACCTAGTGTTTCCGCGAACGTTTCTGCAGCACGTTGATCGGCTGTTGGAGTCACGATGTTAAAGACGATGTTACGGTAACTGGACGAACCAAAACGTGTAAGAGAAAGCAATATGCTCAAGAACACTTGTACTACCATGACCTAAAATTTCAAAAAATCCATAGATTAGTTGAATTATTCAATGAGAACAGAAATTAATAAACAAACTCATACCTTGATAAGTTTGAATTCGAGTGCTCTTTGATGAATCGGCATAGGGTTTCCTATCATTGTAATATTCACACGTTTTCGTGAATTTTTGAACGCTATCATAGTAATAACAGAAAAGATAAACATAAGACAATGCGGCAAAAGTATCACAACAATAATCAAATAGCCTGCATAAATAAATGTATAAATACTTCCTGGACTAATTTGACAAGTATTGTTATAAATGTCAAAAAGAATAAGTATGTGTATTGACATAATAATGCCAACTATCAGCATAGTAGCTGCCAGTCGTTTTGCAATTTTAATTTGACTCCATGCCCGTAGTCTAGCGTTGTCTGATGTACATAAAAATCGATCAAGAGTAGCAAATACCATATAATAAGAAGCAAGTGAAGGCAGTGCTATAGCAGAATAATAGCGTACTTTACAAAATACAGGCGATTGATTTAACAAATTACTACCAGAATGATCATAAAACAAACGAAAACTAACACATACCAGAATGGAGAGTAATTGAAATACCGTGACACATAATAAATAGAGTGCAGCTGACGACTGTCTTATCTTTCGACTAGTTAATGTAATTAGATTACCTATACCACCCATTATGCCAAAAATGTACGTGACAAGATCGATATATAATGTGATGTTGGAGAGGATTTGTTGTAGTGTAGCTGAATAACTGGTGGTCGACATGTGTATATTTTTGGTCTCTTATTTAATATAGAAAATATATGAAGATAAGGAATGTCGTGAAAGAATCTGTTGAGATATAATGAAATGAAATGACTATTTGCTTTTTCTTTTTATAATTATCATATGTGTTCTCTCATTAAAAGTGCATGTCAATCACAATCTATCTAAGGTTTCACTCATTAATTCTTTTCCACGGATGTATTCTAACATTGTCAAACACATGTAATGAGTGTTTAATGATGAATGATAAATATAAAAATTTAAAAACATGATAAAGGCAGTTAGTAAAGCACGATCTGTGATATATATAATTATGTATATAAAAGTTAAAAGGAATATAATTGATAGTGATGTAAAGGAAGGAAAAACTATTTCCTGTAGTCGAATTACCTTTTCTCAAATAAATCTATTGTTTTTTAATTCCTTGTTTTACCAGGAAATTAAAATGTTCGGTTTTCGATGGATGTGCATTCCCGCAAAATAAACTGACATAGTTTCATATTTCCATCTCTCTTCTGACGATTTCAAGCATGAAGAAAAATAAAATTTCATCAAATAATGCACATACTAATAATATCCTGAGGGTTAGAGGTGTTACTCCATCTTTACTTTATAAAATAAAGTTAAAATAAAGAATAAAGAAATTTTTTTTTCTTAAAAATCTGAAATTTTATCTTTTCCAGCTAGATAGTCAAATATTATAAGAACGCAGGCTAGAA